CCGAACGTAAATTTAGTGTTGTATGATCTACATTGATTAACAGAAGAACTCGTTTTGATTGAAAACAATTTGTTAGGAAATTTTTCATTCGTACTATTTCGAAAATTGACTGTCTAATGCAAATGTCTTTGCCTATTGCTATAAGTATCACTTATTTCCTACATTTTCTTTTACCTCTTCGTTCTATGCGTCTACATATGTTGTTTTTGCTATTATGATTACACTTTTTTTGATCATGTGAAATAGAACTTACATTGAAGCAGATTTCTAGAATTAAACGTATTCAAAAAATTAAAAATATCATTTGTTGACCTACAGACCAAACCAGAAAAAAAGTGGTCTGTTGACACCTCTGATTTATACTATGAATTAATATTTTATTTAGTATTAGAAATAGTTTCGACTGAAAGATTGTTTTTTTTTGTTTTTGTAGGGTAGTTTTGGTAAATGTGAATTTATTCGAACTACAACTCATGTGTCACCATCAACACCATTAGAAATAATACCAAATAGTAGAAAAAAATATGAAAAACCTTATCGATTACGGTCAATTGAATCCAATGATAGAAAGTTTGTTATTTATTATTTAATTTATTTATCATCTAATGAATAAAACATAGTAATCAACCAACGGATATTGATGAAGATATTTCTGATTTTGAAAAAGATTTTCTTAATGAATTAAATCCCAAAATGTTTCCATTATCTTATGAACACGTTCGAGAACAAAATCATCACGAATGTCAAACAATTCTTCAACAAACAAAAATTTATTCAACATTTTCAACTATCAATTCGAAACCTATGGAAGATAATAATATTGAAATTCCATCATCAAAATTACTTATCTATGAACATGTTTATCTCTTACCAGAAGAAGTTTGTTGCAATCATTTTTTTTTCTTTTTAATTTTTTTTATTTAATTTTTTTTAGACAATTTTTCTTCAACATGCACTTGGTTGTTTAACTGTCAAAAATGAATTGAATCAAGTAAGATAAAAATAAAATAATTAGTTTTTTTTTCTTTTATTAAAATAATTTCAAAAGACTTTATCTCCAGATGAATTATGGAATAAATTTATTTTAAAAGATACAAACTTCCCAATAAAATATGCTGTTTATTATCAATATCGAAGTATTGGATGGATTGTTAAATCTGGTTTAAAATTTGGTTGTGATTATAGTAAATAAAAAAAAAGATAGAAGACATGTTGTTATGAAGCCAGTTTTTTGCGTACATAGTTTTCGATCGGTAACGTATGAGAGATTCATTGGAAGCATCTTCACCGCTTAGTTGTGCACTATTTCGACATATTGTTATCAGTTCCTAGGATATCTCCAGACCTTCCAAAAACTTATGTCGAAAAGTCTAGGTTCTCTAAGATTACGGGATCGATTATCTTGAGTCTCTGGATACTGGATCTACATCGATTTTGCTGATTCGAATTGATATTCCCATAATACGTGAAATGCTGCTGTGAGCTGCCTATATGACTTTGTGATACCAGACCATCGTTGACGAGTATCAAGGCTGATAAAAAGTCAATCAATTTATTTTTAAAAATATTTTCACGTTTTTCTTTGCGACATTGTAACTATATATGCGTGTTTTGGAGCTGATTTCATTTGAAATGGATACAACAAATTTTATATTTTAGAAAAGAAAGCTAATACTTAAGTATATTTCTCATATAAAAATCAAGTGATGGGATGAAAAACTATCCTATGACCAAATTTTTGGTAATATATATGTTTCTCTGTTAAAATCATGAAAAAAATGTTTTTTTTTAAGCCCTGGTAATACTCTCGAGATCAATAGGGTCATGCCGAAATAGCACAATATTAAGTGGTGGATAATACTATTAACTACACTCATACATTTTCAATAGAAAGCAGAGTTGCAAACAAATGGTCTTATCACAATATGTTCTTTTGAAAATGAAATTTTCTTTTTAGTGCTCTATAAATTTGGTCCAACTTTTAATCATGCTGATTATTGTTTATCAATTAAAAATTTTTGGAAAACAAATAGTTGTACATGGTCATTTATATCAGGATTTAATCGAGCATGTTTAAATGCAGGTAAAACATTACTTTTAATCAATGTTGAATTACCAGTGGTAATTACGAATAATATTGAAGAATTTCTTGAACAAACGAAAATAAAAACAATAGAAATTAATCGATGGATCCCAACACAAAATCAATCTTTAGAAGAATCGAAATAATTATTTCATTGATTATTTTTTTTTGTTCTTAATTCTAGATAAATATATTTTTCATAATGGCATGGTTATGGTGGATTTTTATCTTTAGCATTCTAATGTGTACGTGAAGCTGCTCTGCATGTCATGCGGCATGTTAGTCGCTGAGAATTTTGTCTTTCAATTACGTTTCCTTTTTCGTTTTTTTTGGATTTCTAGTATTCTTATATATTTCGAATAAATATTATTGGTCTGGTACGCGATGTCCATCACATGATCGGATGAATGGAAAAACTGTTATTATTACAGGAAGTAATACTGGTATTGGAAAATATACAGCTATTGAATTAGCTAAACGAGGTATATAGTAATTATATTTTTTTTAGTTACAACAGATGATTTTGGTTTTATTTTTCTATAGGTGCTCATGTTATTTTAGCATGTCGAGATCGAAAACGAGCAGAAGAAGCTTTAAAAGATATATGTAGATTATCAGGAAATAATAATGTCGAAATTGAAATGCTTGATCTTACTTCATTAAAATCAGTTCGTGAATGTGCCAAACGACTTCGCGGAAGATTATCAAAATTAGATGTTTTGATAAACAATGCGGGTGAGTAAATATCTCAAATATATTCATATAGATTTATTTTATTTGATACATTATGTACATAGCAAAGTGTAAGCTGATTTGATTAGCATACTAATGTTTGTTATCCATATAAATTCAGAAAGAATTTCATTTGCATATAATAAATATATATATATTTATTTTGTTTTCTAATTGTTTGAAAATACAAGCAGCATAAACCTTGATGAAACGTAGACTAAAGAGAAATACATGTGTATTGTATAATTGAATTATAGCTTTGGTTTTATTTTGAATAAGTTCTGTATGGCTTTTATAATTCTGATAATGCATAATAATAATTTTATTCTTAGTCTTGTTTTATCAATTCGTTCGAATGTATAAAATTCGAGTGATCATTAAGTTTAATCAACTTTTCTAGTTACCAATAATCTTATTCGATGATTCATTTTAAGCCTTAATAACCGATCCAAATCGTCTCGTTAGTGTAACCGATAATCATATAAATCTCCTACTTTTACGATCATTTATCTTTTCGTTCTATTGTCCTTTTCATTGTTCACTTTTCTCTATTCTTCTCTTTCTTTGTCCTACATAAAGGTACGTTCTATGTGAAGCAAAGACAATTGGAGTAATGAAGTAGTATAGTGTAGATCCATGTCGAAGGTGGCGATAATGTTACTTCTCCTATTCTTCATCATCATTGTAAAAAGATAAGGTGTTACTGATCCAAAATTTGAGCAAAAACTGATTGAATAGATTTTGAATTTACTCGTCATATAGTTAGAAAAATATTATTTAATTTTTAAGAAAATCAACTTTTTCGATTTAATAGTAAATAGTCATAAATACGAGCTTATGTTCAAAGAATTGATCATGAGAAGTTCAGTTTCGAATGAAACGAATATCATATTTAGAATCAGCAGAAAATTTGCATCGAATAGTATTCTCAATAGTTATAAATAGTTTTGATTAAATATCGATCGTCACATTCCCTCATTGATATTTTCGAATACTTTGATCTGTACTTTTTCTAAAGAAGAAATTTGACGAATACTAGTTTCAAGTATTGTGTATAATATTCGATACAAGTTTTTCTGCTAGTTCTGAATATGATATGCATTTCATTCGAAACTGAACTTCTCGTTATCAATTCTTTAATCGTAAGTCCGCATTTATAGTTATTTACTGTCACATTGAAGAATTTGCTTTTTTCAAAAGTCAAATATTATTATTCTAAAACGAACGAATTTATTTTTTTGTCTTTAGGTGTTATGATGGCTACAGGAAAGTCAGTTGATGGTTATGAAATTCATTTTGCCGTCAATCATCTTGGTCATTTTCTATTAACAAATCTTCTATTAGATTTAATGAAAAAAGCTCCCTCAGCTCGAATTATCAATGTTTCATCTATTAATCATGCCTGTAAAAAATTCATTTATTTTCAATAGATTAAAAATTTCTTTTACTATACTTAGTTTTCAATTGTACAATTAATTGGGATGATATAAATTTTGAAAAATCACATTGGAGAATAAACGCATATTCACATAGTAAATTAGCAAATATTTTATTTACAAATGAATTAGCACGCAGATTAAAAGGTTTTTTTTTATTAAAAAATACAAAATATTATCTATGTTTTATTTCAATAAATTTAAGGTACAAATATTACAGCAAATAGTCTTCATCCTGGTAAATAACTTTTATGAAAAAAAATATATATTATTCAATTGATAATAATTTTATAGGTGTTGCTCGAAGTGAAGTCATTCGATATATGTGTGGTCGTTATCAAATAATATTAAATTTTTTAATTTTTCTTATCACACCTATATGGTGGTGTTTAACTAAAAATCTTGAACAAAGTGCTCAAACATCTATTTATCTTGCATGTGATCGCCATTTAGATAATGTTACAGGAAAATATTTTGGGTTTGTCATTTATTTTTTTTTTCTCGTTTTTTTTTTTGTATGTGTTTATATGTATATATAGTGATTGTCAAGAACGTCAATCATCAAAAATATCTCGTGATGAACAAGCAGCTGAACGTCTTTGGAAACTTAGTGAAGAAATGACACAGTTAAACGATGCATTAAAAGAAGTTCGAAATGAACAAAATGATTAATTGTCAAAAAAAATTTTTTTTTTAAATTTGTTTTTCTTTATAGAATCAAGAAATTATTATTTTTAGATAATAAAAAAATGATCACAACTAATAATGAATATTGTTCTTATTGTCCACCATCATCTTATGTACCTCTGCGTTCAACATGGGCAAGAGCTGTTTTAAAGAAAATAGAAAGTGATAAATGTTTAAAAAATATCGATCGAAATAAATGGTACCGTTTATCACGTCAAGATCTTTTATATGATGAATACCGAGAATATTTTCATGAATTTAATGAAGATGAAGAAACAACAACATTTATTAAACAAAGTGAACAACAATCTGATAATATTCCTTTACAAATCTTTCATAGTATACTTACTTCATTATTAACACTTTTTATGACAAGAACATCAGGTATGATCATGTTATTGTTTTTTTTTAAATATGAAATTTCGATAGATTGAATCAATAAAAGAATCTAATAATTCGTTAGCAAGAAAACTTAGTAAAAAACTAGTCAATATCACCGAGATTGAATAAAAAAATTAGAGTTTGATTTTATCTTTCTTTTCGATATTCACTAATCATAAGTAAATTTGATTTCAATCATCTTCACAAATGATTATTGTTTTTTATCTATTCTAGCTAATGGTTTAATCGGTCGTGGTCGTATGTTTGTATATTCGACACGTCAATTTAAAGCTTTACTTGATGTAGAATCTCATGAAGAATCTTCCTTCAATACTCTTCTTGATATTGGTGCTGGTGATGGTTCAGTAACTGAACGAATGTCGAGTCTATTTAAAAAAGTTTATGTAACAGAATTATCTCCCACAATGCAGTGGCGTTTATCAACATATGGTTATACAGTATTAAATCCAGATCATTGGGATAATTTAACATTTGATGTTATAACATGTTTAAATGTTCTTGATCGTTGTGAAAAACCATTAACATTATTAAAACAAATACGTAAACATTTAAATCCTAAAACTGGTCGTTTAATTATAAGTCTTGTTTTACCATTTCAACCATATTTTGAATATAATAATAATCATTATCCAAATGAATCAATAGAAATTCAAGGTGTTTTACCAGAAGAACAAATCAATAGTTTTCTATTGAATGTTTTTCAACCATTAGGTTTTCGTTTAAAAAAATTAACACGTTTACCATATTTATGTGAAGGTGATATTGAACGAAGTTATTATTTTCTTTTTGATTATTTATTTGTACTAGAGATGTCATGACATTCTATTCTGTTCTGTTTCTTTTCTTTCCCTTTTTTTTTCAAAATTCAGTCAAATGTTTTTAAATGCATTACATCTTATTGACATGACCTTTATGCGTGCAGATATAATGAAAAAGATTTTTTTTGCTTCTGTTTCTAGATTAATTTATATACATATAATGAGTGATAGTTCATTTGAAGATAAATTAAAAGATCTCAATTTATCAAATGATGAATTAAAACGTTTTTCTGATGCTTTTAAAAATGAAGAATTTCGTAAATTATTTATGGAATATGCTGAAGAATTAAATGATCCAACAAATCGTGAATTATATGAAAAAGAAATTCGTGCTGTTGAAGAACAACGTGGTTCAGATGTTACATTTATACATCCGAAACCCGGTCATGTACTTAAAACAACAATAAATAGTAAAAATAAATGTTTTATTAATATAGCAACAAATGAACATGTTGATAAACCATCATATAATAAAAGTACAGAAACAAATGGTAAACAAGGTGTACAATGGAGTTTACCACATTGTTTAGCTGGACCACATGAAGATATTGATCATGAATCAAAACCATGTACGATTTATGATGTTATTTTTTCACCAGATACATATAGAATGGCTGAAACAAATGTAAAATTTATGAAAATGGTTGAAGATTCAGCGTTAGATTCTGTTGAAAATAATTTTCATTGTAAACTTGATAGAAATAATATTAAAAAATTAAAAATGAAATTTAAAGGTATCCCAAAAGCAACTATTATTAGAAAAAAAAAAGAAAATCAACAACAGGAAACAAAAAATGATACTGAAAATGAACTTAAACAAGAGACGTAAGTTAAAATATGCAATATAATTATGATTTATGATTATTATTGAAGAAAAGAATTTTTCAAAACTCATATTAATTGTATGAGTAGGAATTTCCGATAGAAAATGTTCAGTCATATCTTTAATGGTATTACTTGATCTAATAATGTCAAGAGACATAATGAAATCTTTCATTTCTTTCTTGTTCTTCTCAAAGCATTTTATAAAACACCAAATGTAATTATAGTAAGAAATATACTTAATCCCTTTTGTTATATTGGCATAACCAAATGGGAACTTCACTCCACTCAGACAGTTTTTTTTACTTCTGATTACTTCATTATTTCGTCACTCAATAGTCAGAGCTAATAAATAATTTTTTATTGCATCTTGTTAATATAATTAAATTTAGGCGAAGTCGTTTTACTTTGGTTATGCAAAATGACTCATTCGTTTTGTGTGATATGACATGAGAATTTGAAATTATTGTTAGTTTGAGTTGAATAATTTTTTGAAAAATGAATCATTTCAAAGAATGACATATATATAGAATTACATGCATTTTTATAATATGAAATCCTTAATTTTTATTCCGATTCAAAATCATCTAGTCCTTTTATTAAGATCGTCTCGCCTAGAAGGAAGTTTATGCCAATCTGACGAACATCAGAATAATCAATTTGTGTAACTAAATAAGAAAAGTCATTAGTACATTCCCTACGAGATTAAAATGTGAAGCACGATGTAGTTGTTGTTGCAAATCACAGAAGATTGCGTTAATCTATCTAATTTGGAATGCATGTCTTCACTGTCGTTTTAATTAATCTTCAACAAATACAATAACTAATTCATATATTAGAACAAGACGTTATTCATATACAGTCTTTGATCGTCTATCAGAAACATCTTTCATGGTCTATGGAGGTACAGATTTTTGAGACTTTTTCTAAAAATACATCGTTTCCTAACTCGAAAAACTTAGCCAAGAAATGACGAAAAGAAGTTTAATTTTTTATGGATCTGTAGCTTATACACAACATTCTGGAACTGTCTCAATGTTATGCTTTATTACTCAAAATAGATACTTTCTGTGAATCACCTAAAACAGACAGTAAGGAGTTAAACTTGCTTAAAATTATAGTTTACTCGAAGTGAGAAAATTGTTTACAAATAAAGAATATTGAAGAGAAAATTGTTTGAAAGTCTATATCACTATTGTATTGTTTCAATTAAATGCATATTTTCAATAATTATTAAACTAAGACTATATTTCTAATTATTTTCACTAGACAAAAAAAATTCTCAAGTTTATTTTGAAGATTTTCTTATCTGGAGTATATTTTCTTTTCTTCTAGTGATGATATAATTGAAAAAGCTATATCAAATGCTCAAAATCACAAAGTGGTTTTATCAAGTCATAATCGTGCTGTAAATTCTCCACCACCCTCAACTAACATAAATTCATCTGAAACAATGAAACCTTGTACAGACGAAAATGGTTTTACTATTCCAACATATCGAATAATTCATCGTGGTGAATTTGACATGCAAGATTGTACAAATTCTCTTGTACCACAAGTTCGTTCGATGCGTCCAAAAGAATTAATTGTTGAAATTGATCTCCCATTATGTGCATCTTCTAGTAATGTTGATTTAGATGTATGTGAACGTTCACTTAAACTTCATTGTAATTCGCCGAAATATTCTCTTGATCTTCATTTACCTTATCCAGTCCGTGAAAGTGATAGTCATGCACGTTTTGATAAAAAACAACGGAAATTACTTGTTACATTAGCTGTTATTAAAGAAACTCCGTCAATTATTGAAGTTGATACAAATATTGATATGAAAGAAACAAATGAAGAACCAACAGAAACAATTCCGACAACAACAACAAATGAAGAACCAACAGAAACAATTCCAACAACAACAGCAACAACAAATGAATTAGCAGAATCAATTGCAAAACCAGCAAATATAACTTCTTTATCCATTCCATTTGACTATAAACAAGGCTTAGCTCATCTAGCAATAGTTTTATATGTTAAAAATGTTGATAAAACAAGTTTAAAACTTGAAAATGATGGACAACATATAACTATTCAATTATCATCTTTAGGCTCAGGTTTTTATCCTTTACATCATCAACTTTTTCTTGATTTTGATGAACCAATGGTATTTGATACAACAGAGAATTCATCAACAATTACATTTAATGATGATAATGTTTTAATCTTATTAAAGAAAACTTCCAATGATAAACAATTAACTCAATTTTCTAGTGGTATTAATCAAGAAGATATGAAGGTAAAAAGTTTACTATTATCTTTAGATCATGTTTTGCAACTTCCTCTACCGTCGAAAGAGAAAGGCTAACGATCATTGAGTCCATTTCTATGACACTCCAGGATAATGGATATCAGAATCCTTCCCAAGAGTTTCTTAGCAACGGAAAACTCTTCAAACTGATACTCACTGTATAAGCTCATATTAGATTCATAAGGAGGTCTCAACAAGACTGGAAAAATCTTTAAACGGTTCATGACTATGAGTCTCTGAAGGCTAGTTATGACTGTTTTTCTGAATCTTTGATCCGACTTTAGGTATTTACCGAAGAATCAAATAACGGATTTTCTACCTGAAATTTTTCCAGGATATTTTACTAGTCAAGCAATCTGCTTATGGGTGAAATTTTAGGTCAAAAACGCCGTCAAAAGGTTATAGCTTGGCTTCAGAGGCCATGTGCACCAACCTTTTTAGGATTTTTCTGAACTTATCGAAACCTACATATGAACCTAGTATGATCTCAAACGGCACGTATCAGTTCCCGTAGTTTTCTCGTCAGACTACTCTAGATAATTTCAAAGCTTTACTCCAATACTTGTACGACTGGAATGCATTAATTATATAATAGATTTCAAGAATGATGAGTAACGATGGATAGATTTGACACTGCCATCATATGACCAACATAAAAAGAAAGAATTAATCAATATCAGTGTTTTTGAGCTTATCGAGATGGATAACAGTGCATTGAGATCTGTTGTAAATATAATGGAAATGCACAATATGTTTATTTGATCATTAAATCAACAAGTGAAGAAAAATGGAATACGAAAATGGAAAGCAATAAGACGAATAAAAAATAGAGCGCCAGTGTAGAGAAGAAAAAAAAAATCTTTTCGAAATGCAAAAATAAATAACAAAATATTCTTGGAAAACAATTACAATCTACAAGAAAACTTTCACTTACCATATTTTGTATTAGTATAATGAGATTAAAGAGAACATGTGAGTTTCATATTTGACTTCTAAAAAGGCTATGCTGACAAGCTTGTTTTTTTAATGATCTAAGCTTAGTATCATTCACTTATTTAGGTCAACTATTTTCCGGTTTCAATTCCTATGGAGACGTCTAACTCATTACCAAAACAAAATATGACAAAAGAAGATTTTATTAAATGTGATTCATCTTCATCATCAAATACTGATCAAGATAAAAAATTAACCAAAAAGCAAGCTAGAAAACTAGCAAGAGAAAATCGAAAAAAACAAGAAACAACAGATGATAATGAACAACTTGTTAATAAAATTTCAAAAATAACACTACAATCAAATCATGATGAACGAAAATCGGATGGTACGAATGTTAGTCGAAAAACTACATTCGAAGAAAACGATGATAATTTATCAGATATGCAAAGAGTTACTCCACATCCATCAATCTATCGTCGACATATGTCAGAATCACAAGTCGATCTTGGAATTGCATCTAATGGAGAATTTAAACTTAAAGTAAACCAATCAAAATAAAACATAACAACTCAATATAGGAATTTGAAAGTTTTACAATATTTTCTTGATATTTAGGAATAGACAATAACAAATTTTTTCCCTTAATCTTTTCCAATGTTCATCTCTACCAAACGTATTGCTGATATGGACACTCGTAGCTTGTTCTACTTAATCCTGCTCGAACTACAGGCATCAGGGTTCGATCGACTACCAGATGCTTGCATTTGAGCTTTATTCCGGAGCCTAGCTTCAAAGTCGTGGCCAGGTTGAAAGATTGTTGTTGTGTACAACATGAGAAGTTTTCAAAACTTTTTATATCTTCGACACCCTTGATATCAGAGATTTTTTTGTAAAAGCCTTTCGGTTTTATAGTATTCTAGAAGTCGTTATAGTTAAGTAGTTACGTGGTTCTGCCAGACCATGCTCGAATCTCAACAGTACGGACGATGAGATAACCTTAGGCACATTATGAATGGTTGACTATCTCGAATCACTCCTCTGTCAGGATTTGCTGACTTCATTGATCAAGCGATGGAGGGAGAGAATATTTTTTGATAGTATCATATAGCCCATGATAGCTCAAAGGCAGGTGTGTTTTTTAAATACAAATATACAAATTAATGGCTCGATCAAGAAAACTTATATATAAAACCATAATATGATCTTTGATGTCTCATCAAATTCAAAAAATATTTAATATTTTTCTCATTTGTTTTCTTCAATATTTAGAGTATATTAAAAAGTTCGACAAAATATCGTTCATATTCGGAATCATTAAGTGATCCATTTAATCCTATAAGTACTGAATTTCAACGTGAAGAATCAATATTTGAAGCAGCTTCAACAGTTGATGATTTAACTAGTAGTAATGAAAATAATAGTATAGTAACATCACCAGATAGTAGTGGTAGTAATAGTTTTTATCCAACATCAAATTCATCTGTTAATGTTAAACATGTAACATTTAATAATCAGGTATCAAGGAAAACATTTAAACCAGGTGGACCAGTTTCTGGTATGAGAAAATTATCATCAAATCAACAACGAAAATTAAAAAAACGTAAACGACAAGATTCTCTTAATTCTCAATCAAGTGACCAAGATGATTCAATAAGTGAAAAAAATAAGACTAAACAATCGGATACTTATAAAAATCCTATTGAATTTCAAGATGTTATTGCTTGGCAAGCAACTGGATCTCAATCAAATAATAATGACAATACAAAAGAAGAAGCAATAACAACAACGACACCAACTACTAAATCCGCTGTACGATTCACAAATCCGCTTATATTTGAATTAGACAATTAGTCTTTGAATTCTTTTTTTTTTGTCATGTGCTGCGCATGCTTGTTGGACGTTTTTTTTTCTAATGTAAATATTCAATGCATTATCTACTACACACATTAGCATATACTTGATGGTGTTTTTAAAATAAAAAAAACGACATTTAAACTTTTATGTTCTTTTCAGATGACTGACTTTGATTCAATAGATTTAGATGTTGTGGTTCCTAAATCACAATATGCTGTATATGAATATCATTTCTCACAAGCTGATCATCTTGATCATGGTATTGTAAGTTCAATTGAAGCAAATAATTATTTTCAACGTTCTCATTTAAAACCTGATCAATTAAAATTAATTTGGAATTTATCCGATGCACATGGTCGTGGTTATTTAGATCGACGAGGATTTTATATTGGACTTAAATTAATTGCACTAGCACAAAATAATTTAGATTTTCATGATTATTCAAATATAACAAAAGATATTGTACCACCTAATTTAGCTAGTGATATACCACAATCCATAAGTTTATCTGTTGCTGATATATGGACAATAGGACCAACAGCACGTTGTACATTTGATCGTGCATTTGAAAAATTAAGTGGACCGATGAATAAAATCCCTGGTTCATCCGTTAAACCAATATTTCTAAAATCAGGTTTATCAGCTGATCAATTACATAAAATTTGGGAATTAAGTGATATTGATGAAGATGGTGCACTTGATAGAAATGAATTTTCGATTGCTATGTTTCTTATTCATGGTTTAAAATCTTCGACAATACGTGAATTACCTGAACGTGTGCCAACAAATTTAATGCCAATACGAATGCGTCGTGCATCAGGTGTTGAAAGTGGAATTGTTTTACAAAATTTAATTCCAAATACAAATATATTAGCGTCAATAACACCATTACAAGTTTCACCATCAAAACGAACTGATGATAATTGGATTGTTAATGCAGAAGAAAAACAAAAATTTGATATTTTATTTCAACAATTAGATCTTGATAAAGATGGTTTTCTTACAGGTATGCAAATGTATTTAAGAAAAAAAAAAAATAATAATAATTTACTGTATATGTTTTTTGTTTTGTCTATAGGTGGAGATGTTTTTCAAACATTTCTTGCAAGTGGTTTACCAAATTTTGTTTTATCACATATTTGGAATCTATGTGATATTGGTCAAACTGGAAAACTTAATGCGGAACAATTTGCATTGGCATCATATTTTATTAGTCTTAAATTAAAAGGTTTGTTCTTTTTTATATGTAATAATATAGACAAACTATTTACTAACACATATATCTCGACATAGTCAAAATATTAGAGAATTTCATTCGGTGTAAATTCAAAAGTAACCAAATATTTATCATCATTATTGGATCGTGCATCACATGATGTATATTTCATTAGAATTTTAGAGAAACGCTTTTTTTAATGCGGAAAGCTTAAGCGGAAGTTTTTATAAACTATCAGAATTCGATGTTGATTTCAAATAGCACAAAACATTTAGCAGCTTAAAAAGTCACAGGATTTTTTGGCTACTAATGAAAATTCATATAACATTATTTCTAGAAAGCGAATTCAAAGACTAAATCAAACTATATTAACAAGTAAAATACATCATATTTCATGACAGAATTCTATTAAAAATACAGACGATTTATGAACGTATTGTCTTAATATTTAGACATCAAAAATTTTCAAAATTTTACTAAAAAAAGGAATAACTAATTAAAGAATAGAACGTCTTTTCTGATTTTTGATATGCATTTATTTATTTTAGTATTATCTTATAATTGCGACGACTTCTTTTAAATTGAGAGTATACCGTCAACCATTTCTCCTTTGATACTTAGGCAAATATATGTTTGAATTTGTTGATACATATATGAGTAGAGAGTCTTCATGGAGGTTTTTGTTCCACACTCTACAAGGCTAGATGATCTGACGACTTTGCTTTAATAATGTAATATGAATATATAACTGTTTTTTAAAAGAGAATTGAGCGATATTTTTAATTTCTATGCATTCAAAATAAAAGCAATCGTATTTTCATAAGGTCATGTCTTCGTTTAGCTATCGAAGAACTATCACCAGAAAAACCCAATGTCAATAATTGTTTCATAGGACATAAAAATACTAGAAAATAATTCATACTTTTGTGCAAATCTTTGTTAACTAAGAGTTATATATTGAAAGAGTTCTTCGTATTCTATTGATTGTTATTTATTTGAAAGATGTATTCTACTTCGTACTATTTTTTACACAAATTTTCGAGATGACCACTTAAAAAAAAAAAGACTTCTCACGTTTCAAATATTTATGATTGCTTAGGAATAAAAATGCTTCGATTGTACATATCGATCGCGCTCCTTTTAGCGGTAGGATCTATTTTTTTAGCTACGAGTTCGAGTTTTCGTTCATATGTAGATGCTATTTTATGTATTCTAACTAAATATGAAGAGTGTTGAAACATGACGAGTTTTCAATATAAGACTTGTATGAAATTCTAAAAGCTTTATAGGTTTTATGAAATTATTGAAAAACAAAAACTATAGAATTATTTTCTCTATCTTCTTTAGCTGCGAATTATCAACTTCCAATGGAACTTTCACATGATATGATTCCACCATCACTTCGACCAAAAACATTTTCAATAAATGAAAGTGATAATGCGGAATTACAACAATTATTAAGTGAAGTAAATACATTAACAAGCGAAAAAAGTTTATGCGAAATTCATTTTAATGAAAAACAACAAGCGGTTAAAGATAAACGTGCTGAATTATCATCGCTTGAGCTTCGTTCTGGTACAGTTAATGCAACATTAGTTGAACGTCAACAACGTATGACTGAAAAACAAAATGAATTTAATGATATACAAAATCGAAAAGAAAAAACAATTAAAGATATTCATGATATTGAACAACAAATCAAAGAAGAAAATCGTTTAATAACAATAGCACGTGAAAAAATTAATGAATTGTCTGTTCAAACAGATGCACAACAAGAAACACGTCAAACATTAAATAAAATTAAAGAAGAAAAAAATACGATTGAAACTCGTCTTTTAAATAAACAACAACAATTAGCACAAATAAAACTTGATCTTGAACGTTGTCAACATATTGTTGAAAGTCAACGAGCTTTAATTGATGAATACACAAAAAGTGAACAAAAAGATTCACAAGCAGCTATTGCAGAATTAATAACTAAATTTAAACAGGTACAAGAATTTATAGAGATTTTAGTTCATACGTAATACGGTATGTGTTTCTTTTTGTGTTATGTAGCTTGCTGATAGCCCTGTTAAATCAGCACCTTCCGTAGTTAGTAAAATAGTATTTCCTCAACAACAACAACAGTCTCAAGTAACATCAACGACTAGTTCCTTCCAAGATCCATTTGGTTTACCAGCAAATGCAAATAATACATTTAATGCATTTGGTCGTGCCAATGATCCATTTGATAGCACTCGAGCTGATGATCCATTTACATCAGCAACATCAACAAATCAAAAATTAGACGATACTGATCCATTTCGACCTGTTGATTTTAATGCAGCACATGAGTTAATTAAAAAATCAATGGCTAGTCGTTCAAAAACACCGGGTGCAAATATGTTCGGTGGTCATGACTTTAGTCAAGCTGCTGCACCATCTACTAATCGACCACAATCGGCTACACCATGGGAACCAACACGGCAAGCACCGCCACAACCTGGTACGCAAGAATTTAATGATCTCTTTGATATTTTTGGTTAATATTAAAAAAACACTTTTTATTCATATACGTGTACAACATATATATTCTTTTCTTTTTCGATTATATATATATTATGTCTAGTCTTATATTTTATTTTGAATGTTGTCTAAATAATTATTAAAATAGAACTCATAGTATTTGTCAATGTATAATTGATTTAAATGTTTGAACTAAAGAAATGAATATTGCTTGTGCTATCAATAACTAAAAGGGCATCAATTCGAAACCAAGGCCAAATGTCTCTTTGATTTTTTTTTTATAATAGGTGGGTTGTTTTCGTTTCTTTTTTATCGCAAGTCTTTTTCTCTCGCTCTCAATACGATCGATGAAGAGCAAATGTGGAAGAAAAGAGAAAACGAAACGAAGATTGATTGCAAATCGAAAAAAAAGGAAGAAGGTATGTTCTAACGGCACAAGTAAGACTTTCATTTTCTTTTGATACCACTACCTTTAACGTTGTTGTTATTTTTCAATGCCAGGTACTGTTTTGTGTCGACTTAAGCGAACGAAGAAAAAAAGAACTATTTAACATGAAGCCACACTAATCTTTTAAATCTGTTATTCACATACATACAAACACATGCACAAGTAGTTTATGTCTATCAATATCAGATGCCATAGGTGTATATATGTCTGTCTTTTTATAGTGTCGAATATGGATAAATGAGAAAGAAGAAATAATATTTACTTTTCACAAGTTATAATAAACATTTACGATGAGGCATGAATCAAGACGCTTTATATTTGATGGTTTATATTGTTTAATATATAAAATCAAGATCGGTTATATTACAAATATTATTTTCATGAAATCGAGGACAAGAAAAGAAAAACATGACCTTTTGCTTATCGAACCATGGTTATATTTGTGAAAAATAGTTTAATTTATTTTTTCTAGATCAATAAATGACTGTTTCTGACGAAGAATTACTTATATCTCGACCTCCACAATATCAACAAAGAAAATATTCTTCACGTCCTGTACAACCACAATCTATTCAAATTGAATGTCAAGCTGAAGAACGACATTTTATACATTCTTCTCCAATGAAAATAAGTGGATCTTTAAAACCAATTCATTTTACAATGAACAATCAAACTAAACCAGGAAAATATCGATCTGAAATTGTTGTTCATAATAATCCTGATGTTGATTTATATATCAAAAGACTTCATGTTGCTTTTGATGCTTATAATGATTTATCCATGTATACTTCCAAAAATGAACGTTCATCATCACGTAGTCATTCAACATATGATTCATCACAACAAAAACAACGTGAACAACAAGGAAAATGTCGATCAATTTCATTACCACCAAGATCTAATTCTCACGCTATACTACATCAATGGATCGATGATATTTGTTCAAATGAAAATTTAATGGCTGATGATGATATCTGTTTTTTTCTTAAAAATGGTGAATTTCTTGCTAGAATTTAATAAACTATTTTTTCTTTTGTGTTTTGTCTATGAAAGAAAAAAAATATTATTGATAAAGAAGTAGATTATTTTTTTTTTCACTGTATCAGACAATAGTTTTAAAATATATATATATTATCTTACAATCGCTTGAACAAGGACTGAAATCTTATACTAAGATTACAATTAAACTTCATACTAATAACTATTTTTTTCTAGAAAAAAAATTTATAACTGTTCAATTTCAGAAAGCAAATGCAAAATCAGCAGGTTTTCATCAAAATCTTCATCATTTCCGATAAATAATCATCATGACTATTTCGATGATATTTGTCATTGTTCAATACATCCTAGAATTCTATTAGGTAAAACATAGCAGATGTCGATCATCATCGGTATTAACAGGTGTGTTCATAATTCTGATTGTCAAAAACTAATATTGAAGAGTTAAATATTATGATTTTAAATAGAACAAATATAAACAGGTAACAGAACAGATGTGCTTCCAGACTGAAGCTCTCAATAATTAAACCTTCGTTGATGAACGAAGCAAGACATAAAATTAATATCACATATGAATGTGGGTGTGCGTCAGTGAATACGAGATTCACATCCTCATACGCACAATCACACTCTCATGTTTACTTTTCACTTGATAAAAAGAGACTCATACTTTAAACATGCAAGAACTTTTTTCACTTTTTAATGCGAATGTGGGCTTATTTAAATAAAACTATTTTCTTATAATATCTGTAATTTGTTACGCATGTCAGGCTCCAATGTTGTGAAGCGTATCTATTGATGTACCATACAAAGAAATTTCCATTGAAAGCGATAAAAATTAACATTTCTTATTTACTCATTTGCTACAAATATTCTAATACATTTCAATTAAAATTCTTCCTTCTTCATGAAATAAAGTACTGCTCAAAGTTTCGATACATCACTCAATATAGCAACAGACATTTACACAGATTATTTTCATTATAGATCGCTTGAGAAACAAGAAAATTTCAGTAGCAACATATAACTTGACACAACAATAATCATTTTTTTTTTGACCTTAATTTATTATGCAATCTTTACGTAGTCTAATTTGTGTTTGTTATAAGAATTTTGCAAGAGTTATGGAAACATTAGTCAAAACTACTTTCATCATAATATTTAAACATCAATATATATTTTACAAAAAAAAGATACAACAAAAAATAGATGGTGCTGAAATAAAAATATTTTTTTATGTCGATCTAATAGAAGAGAATAATAATTTAGATAAAAAATTATTTTTATCATAAACAGCTATATTTGGAAGACAAAAAAAAACATAAATATTAGAAGAATATTCTAAAATCTAACAGTAATAATATCAGGAGATGATGAACCGTCAGTTGATTCTTGTTGATTATATTCTGATTTATATTTTTCTTTATATTGTTGTTTCCATGAATTAAAATGATTTATTCGATTACGAACATTAAGTTTTATATATTTTTTTTGTTCATCATCAGAACATTGCCTATGAATTCGTTCAAGAACAGAATTAAACATATGTTTCCATCGTTCATTGTCTTTTGAATAATGTAAAATAGTATCATCTGAAACTATTCTTCTATGTATTGTTGTCTTATTATCAAAAACTTCATCATCATCATCCATACTTGATGATAATTTTCGTTCAGTCATATTCGATATAAAATTAATTTGAGATTGATGACGATTACTGTCTTTATTTCTATTTGGATTGACATGGTTTTTTTTTATTTTTCGAAATTTTTTATCACGTTCTTGAAAACATGATTTATTAGAAGTATTTATTTCATTCATTTGAACATCAGATAAAAGACCAGATTTCATATACCATTCAATAAATTCATCTTTAGTTATATAATCATCATCATTTGTATTTAATTCATTAAATGCATCATCAATACGTTTTTGTAAATTGTTTTGTTTATTTAAATCATGTTCCTGGGAATAAGAAACATGACGTCTTTTATTTGAATTTGTTACATCAACAAGTGTATGTAACATTTTATCTATTTCATCTTTTGTAATTTTTCCATCATTATCTAAATCAAATACATTAAAGAGAGTTTCAATAAGACGAAGACGATTGACTACAGTAGCAGCCGATAATGCTATGACGAATTCTCTAAATAAAATAATTTTATTTAGTATTATTATTTATTCTAAAAACAAAAACGAAGGTAATGTTGATCAACTTTTTGAAAATAATTACATGAAATAAGATCAATCATGTCATCATATTTTTAATTGTTTTATTTTCTTTCTTTTTTTTTACAAAATTTTAGACTTCTTCATTTTCTTACCTAAAATCTATAAATTGATTTTTATCTTGATCATAAACATTAAACATATGTCTAACATAAACTAATGTTTTTTGTTTAAGTTTTCCCATTATTTTTGCATATTCATTTTCAAATTGTTTTAATGTTAATTTACCATCAGGACAATCTTTATAAAAACTTCTAAATACAAGATGATACAGTTAAACCAAAAAAAAAAATCTTAAATAAAACTAACCAATAACTTACGTATGCAATTTAAGTAATTCTTCTTCTGTAAATCCAGTATCGTGACAAAGTTCTTCAATTTTTTCTTTACTTAATGGTTCACCACCATCTAAGTTACGTCGTGATGATTTTGAACCCATTGATTAATTATTTCTTATGTTTTCAAATAATACAAACGATTTTGAATTATATTCAATTTCAATTTTAATATAATGTTTTTTTTTTCTTTGAAACCGATAGTTTTTCTGAGTTCGTATTTCAATAGAATGGAAAAGCGTGACTGAAAATCAATATCTAGAAAAACAAATGGAATACTTAAAAAAATATTATCGAGGCAGAGTGATATATGCTTATGTGTGCGTAACATAACTATATTAAGTAGAACGAGAAAGGAAAAAAATCCTAGAAGAACAACAAACGCATAGGTAGTATTAACATATGTAAAGAATAGTAAAAATGGAAACTTTAAAATAATTATATACAAGGAAATAATATGTATTTATTGACATCGTCTTAGAAGTATGAAGTCTATAAGAAATCTATAAAGAAAAGCTTAATATAATACAATCCATTTGGAAGTTCGAGATATTTAATGCATGTTTATGTCTGTTAACTATGCTATTAAAACAAGGTTTGATAACTGATCAATGCAGAACTGCTTTTAATTACCTTGATATTATCAGAAAGTCTTGTTAACCACACTAAAGAAAAAGAAAAAATATTTTTCAAGATTAATTTGAAACAGTACAGCTATCACAAACATTGTACTAGAGAACTATATAAATACGTTATTTTTTTGCTTGCACGTACGTGTAACGACTAAATGTTCGTCTATCTCCATTCTTTTTCTTAGCATTAGAAAACGATCATTTTCAAATGAATTTTCTTGAATTTGCGCGAACTAACTAATTGGTACATCAAAACCATACAATTACGAACTTTTCTGCTCAATAGTTGATCATATAAGATGTATATTGGTGCTTCACACAGACTGATTTCGCTAATGGCTTACTATTTTTTTTTTCATAAGGTTAATTTGTCATGTACGCTGATTATTGAGCTAATAAATGGCGTGATAACTTAAGTTTCTAACATGTAATAGTACCAGAATGAACACATATATCATTTCATCATATCTTTCTTTCTTGAAGGCATCCGCCCCCTGTTTCTAAGGTTTCTGAAGAACAGCTTGTCAGAGAAATTTTAGACTATCACAGTAGATAAATTTTGACGAACAGAAAAAGAGTTATATTAGAGTCGAAGTCGTTGAATGCTACTTTTTAGGAGATATTAGGCTCACAATCGATCAAAATGATTCCTCTTTTCGTGCCACATTTCTTCGAGAGAATACGTGTGGTTAGGTTCAAAAGTTTATTGCACGAACTGATCACTATTTGAGATGGGTACGCTTTTTTTGTTTCTTTACATTGTTTTTTCTCTCAATAAAAAAAAGTCAAAATGTTGCACTTACTCTAGAAGCGTCTGTTTTTTTTTACTAGGTCCAAGTTTGTAAAAGGTGCAAAATTATTTTCAAAGCAATAGTTTTTGAAATAATAAAAAGTACGAACACTAAATAGCGAAGAGTATCTGTGAAAAAGTTTCAACTCGATACCTCTTAACGTGTCGACGCAATGGAGCGAAACAATACTTTTTTGTATAAAATATGGCTTCGAGCAAAATGAAATACAAAATAGAATGTCGATTTTTCCTAAATAATCATCTTTTTTTCTTTTGTATTTCAGGTTTTTGTAGGCTCTCAACTACTGTGCATTCAATGAGATGGTTTTCTATGTTCAGAGAATGTCTTTTTTGTCTGTGAGATGCCCATGATCAGCTACTCTTGAATAATATACTTATTATTGATTGTACGTATGTTTGATTACCAACAGAATAAATGAAATAATCAACGAAAGAATTAAAGATTAAGAGTGAACCATTTTCAAGATACTAACTCCTAAATTTTGTCATACGAATCGTATCTTGACATTTGACTCTAAAAAAAATATATGTTAAAAATAAGATAGCTACCAGCAGATCAAACGTAAAGAGGAAATATTTTTCAAAAAAAATTAATGAGTCGAGTTTTTTGAGACGGAGAGGTTTCTAAAATCGTTCTTGTCCAGGTCAAAACACTGTCAAAAGAAGTTCATGTTTGGTGGATCGATATAGAATACTTCAAAATATATTTATCAATGAAAAACAATAAAATTGAAAAATCTTGATTTTTGCTATAGCTTGAATGTGTTCTCTGTCAAATGCTATATAAATAAGGACTCTTCGTTGTTATTTAGTGCGTTTATTAAATTCAACCTTCAAAATCCCTAGCAGAAAACCTCATGCTACGATTATTCTTTCTATGCAAAATTCTCCTCATGACAATTTCTAAAGGTATTGAGTGCATGAGTTATGAACCTTTGGCACCGCTAAATATGGTCAGTTTTGAAGGAAGAAAAGATCTGATACATATACGAAAGTGTGTTTTGCATTTTGTTTTTGCAAAATTAATTTTTGATAAAAATAACAAAGTTTTCTCTTCTTTTCTCACACACAGTGTATTCGATTGAACTTAAGTTAGGATGAGTGTCTTTTTTTCTTCAAAATGTTGTTCCTACGAACTTCGATAGCCTTCAAAAAATCAGTACTGTCGAAGAAAAACATGCTTTTTGATCAGTGCAGTATTTTGCTTCTTCAGAGCTGTAGAAACGATGCTTTCGAGAGAAAAAAAAGACACCTACACTCTAGTTGTCATTGAAAAAGTTAATCTCAAAAAAATGAATTATAGAAGCTTGCAGGAGGAAGACTTTCGGCCATTGTTAGCCTTTGCGAACTCTATATCACCTTGAAGAAAGCATCTGAAAATTGTGAATCTATATCATACTTAACTGACAGATGCAAACAACGACATACTTAATTCATACTTAGAATAATATATAAGAGAAAAGAAAGCTAGATGCATACACTTGTACACATGCATAGACGAAGTCATGTCGCAGTTGCTGTGTAATAAAAAAAAGTGAGTAATTGAATTGAAAAAAAGAACTAATGCAATGACGTAACAATGTTTTATTGTTCCGTTCTTTTTTACTGATATCATCTATATACAAAAAATAGGGATTCGTATATTATGGCTTTATTTAAAAAATGACGAAATTATGATAGAGAATGATTAATTTTTTCCATCTTCGTTTGGATCAGATTCTTCATTTTTAATGTTTGCTTGACTTTTGACATTATGACGGTCTTTAGATTGTTTTATATCATGTGAACTTTCCCATTTACGTGTTAATAGATTATATTCTTTAATTATCTGATTCTCACCTGTTTCATTTGTATTATCCATTAAATATCTATATAAAAATATGGTAAAAAAAAAATTAAAAATAAAAATTAGAAAAAAAACATTGCTATTTCATACAATTTATTATTTTTAGTTGCAAGACCATTACTTGTTTTAAAATCAGGAATATCTACAACAACTTTCCATTTTTTCTTTTCCATATCATATTCTTCAATTTTACCATCTGAATATAATTAGATATTTATAAAATAAAATTTTCATGAATTAATCACTTACAAGGTGCAGCTTTTCCTTTTTCATCAAAATTATAACCACCAGCAACAATTAATGTTCTATATAGACAAATAACATATACATAGATAAACAGAAAATGATTAGAAACATTTACGGTGAATCTTTATTATCAATTATACTAATTAATGGTCGAGCTCTTGGAGGATCAAGATCAGCTAGTGTTTTCCATTGTTTTTTTTCAAGATCCATTAGAAGAACATCACTATTTAGGATTATATATACGTTATGTTGTTTTGCTTTATTGAAAGTAATTTTCTTACCCATTACATACAATCTCATTTCCAATAAAATCAAATCCACCGATTACATACAAAACATTATCAATAACACTTACACCTGGACCAATGCTACCATCTTAGCGTAAAACAAATAGATTTGTGTTTTTTTCTTGTTAGATATCAAAACTTTACTAGGCATGTATGGTAAATTTCTCCATTCGAATTTATCTAGCTTTGTATCAAGCATATTGACATTTGACATTGTTTCGTAATTAAAATTATGTCCACCAACACTAATTATCTTACTATCATCTGTTGCTGCTAAACCAAAACCCATACGACCATTACCAGGTATTGGCGGAAGTTCGATTAATTCTTTGGTATTGTTACTGTAACTATGTATCAATTACTTTTTCAATAAAATTATTGATAGAAGAACAATTCTTTTTTTTTATTGGCATGAATAGCAAAAAGGTTATTTCGACATTGAACTTTAATCAAGAAACATCAGAAGTATTGAATTTCTTTCACAAAATAATTTGTGTTTATCAGAATCAATAATAGAGAAATATTTTAAAAAGTCTATTAATTGCTTTGATATCCTCTAATATAGCTCCTAATTTATTTATTCTGATTTCATTTGTTTCCGATTCACTCTATGCTAAAAAAAATCGATTCTAAACTCGCCTAATTTGACTCTTATTTATGAACTAATCAAGATAAATGAAATGAGTAACAGAGATAGTTCATTGCTGTTTTTCTATGCATTGAAGGAGCAAGTGACATATGTAAGTTGCAAAGAAGTTTTTATTGTACGACCGGGTTTGATGGTTACATATGCTCTGTCAAACTCTTCTCTCTTCATATGCTTCGAATTAGTCGATCAGCTTTTCATGAGCAATGAAATTGATGCTTTGCGTTGTAGAATGGCTAGTGAATTTAAATTGCATAGACAGATTAATTAGAGTTGAATTAGGAACCAACTAAAATTGATATGGGCTCAGTTTAGAAACATTTTAAATGAGACAATTTATCTTAATTGTCAATCGAGGATGATTTAGGAGTAGATCATTGATTTCCTTGACACAATCAAGTTCAAGTTGAATAAAAAAAAACTGTTTTTCTATTAATACTATCTCAGTTTATAAAAGCATCCAAGACAAACTGCCTAGTCCAGATTGTAATATATTTAATTGCACTATGACTAGTATGTAGGAATCGGTTCACGTCTCGAGTATGGTTTCACACTTGGATTCGATCCTACAATTAATGAGATCTTGACGTTTTAAAATATTTTTACTTTTTCAAACTATCAATTTTTATAAAAATATACGACTGAAATTCGGTTCGGTCATGATTGAAAAATTTGTTGTACTTGGAAATAGGTCACAGAAGTGGAAAGCGTTATTGTTTTACTAAAAGAATTTGTTTTGAATGAATATTCATCTACAGATGATGAACTGAATACATGGACGAGAAAATGATTTATCATGTTGAAAAAAGCATTTATATATGTGTTCACAATTATAAGATTTTAACAGCAACACTGCATCCTATTCCAGCATCATCAGCAACAAGCAAATGTATATTTAGCAGAATTGATCGGGTTCTAGAAGCAGAAAGATACCAAGTGAATCTTGAATCGCTTGCATTTTTTTATAGAATTTGAAACGGTCTCTTTTCTTTGTTGTTGTTTACGAAAGAAACTGAATATTATACTTTTTTCATATAAAATAAAAAATTTGAAAATCATACTGTGCCTATGAAAGAAGCTATTGTAACAACCGAGCATAATGTGTAAGGTGTTGCTTCTCCTCGATTGAAACAAGTGCGATGCGCTTCTCTATCTATTACCTATCGACACTTCTATTACTAGTTTGTCCTTGTCTCGTGCATAATAGAGATAGCCGCAATACCCTTTCCTGTTCGTTCTTCTTCTATTTTTACTTTGGAATGTCATGCTTAATGTATCCTCGCCTCGTACATAGTGTTATCCATAAAAGGAATAACCACAACATCTTTTCTATCCGCTACGCTTATCTCTCGTACCTGTACTTTGGAACCATACTCTCAATGTGTCGTTCTTTCATAGTGTTAACCATAATCGTTCTAACCTTTGTATTTGTCCTTAAACCAATATTTTTCTGTATTGTGTTTACTGTATTCTTCAAGGTCCTTCTATGCTAAGAAATAGTATATAAGGAGCGGGAAAAATACAGTAGACGCCCGATTTTACTTACACTAATAAAGTATTAGGACAACAGTTCTCGAGCTGTGCCTACTCTATCTAAAATCGTCACAGCTATCACATGTGGATTAGCTCTGTTCGGGTATCGGATACAGCTATCCAGATCCAATTGGAAAAGGTCGCACGCGTAGGAAACACTAACTATGACTCAACATTTAGGAGTGATGTTTTAATTGGATTAGTATAGGCATTGATTCTCTGTTGAAACAAACCGTTCATCAAAAGTTAGCTTAATACCAAAGCTAGCCCAAAACAAAATTGTCTAGAGTATTCAAAATATAAAATCAGTGATTAAATCTGACGAAATCGTTTACTTTATGTATCTTACTTACAGATAATCATTTTCTGGTGCTTTTTTTTGTCCTGTTTTAGCATCGACAATATAACCACCGAGAATAAAAACACTATCATTCATTTGCATAAGTGCATATCGTTTTCGAATTTCTTTTTTTTCATTTTTTAATTTTTTTATAGCATCATCTTGCATATGCATCATTTGATCATCATTTATAGTTATATTTGGTGATGTTACAACAGCATTTGGTCGACCCATTTCTAATGTATCTTTATGATTTTGAAAACGTTGATTATAACTTAGTTGAAGATTTTTTTCAAAATATTCATTTAAACAATTATCACATTTATTTGATAGACAATGAATTACTTTTAAATTCGGTTTTTTTATATAAGCCTAATAAGAAATTTTATTTTGAATCTTTAAATATTAGTATTTACTTGAAAAATAGGTTCAACAAAGCGTTGTTTTATAGGTTCAACTGATAATTGACAACAATAGATATCAGCCGATATGACATTACACTGATATTGGGAACTCATTACACAAAAAAAAAACAATATTAAATAATAAGCTCTTCGCGCGTCATTATGCTATGTCGTTTATGAAGAAAAAAAATGAATCATGATTATGTGCAAAAAAAGAAGGTTTAATTTTAAAAACAAACATTTACCGGTTTATATTCGTACAAAACAAAAGATGACAAAATATAGTATACATGTTTACATCGATGTGCTTCTTCTATTTTGAAAAAGCATACCAACTTGATAATAGATCCAACTCGTTATCATGTTGTTTTTGATTTATGCAGATAACTTGTTTATGATCCAATAATTGTTGAAAATAATTTTGAGCCATATACTCATTTTCTACATAACCATTTGTAATAACCCATTGACAAAATTGATTTCCATTGAAGATTGTTTCCGTAGGAGAATTCATACTAAATAGAAATTCATTAAATATTGTGTATTTTTTGTTTTTGTTTGTTTTATAATTTAAAGAGAATCTTTAATTACATGCAAAGAAATTATTTGTAATATTATTGTACTTTTTTTTTTGAAGAAAATGAAATATAAAACTTAGAAAAGAAAGGATTTCGTAAACATTTTAATTAAAGATATAAGTTATGATGTTTGATATTTGTATTACAAAATGTAATAATTCAAAAATATTGCCATAATCTATTCTTTTACAACCAAAAGTTAATTAGCTGATTTAAAAGTAAATAATAGAATCAAATACTGCAGACTCTCAAGAATACTATTAATGTCTGCTTTACCTCATAGGATAAGGATGTTTCAGGTGTTTCTTTTCATATCTATATTCAGTCACACATCAACAGTAAAACATGCACAATGCTGATCGGTTATTTACATTAGAGTTTAGTCTCTAGTAAATTAAAATATTGTAAGAAAAACCATGACAAATAAATTTCTTAATTTACAAAAGAGATTAATATTATGTATGTACAATACCGATGACATATATTTGAGTCTAAATGAAATGAAACAAGAAGAATATCCTATTTAAATTATAGAGCAAAAGTTTTAGCACAAAATATTCACTTATTTTTCGATCACTTAAGGGTAACTGATTAGAGTTAGTTAGAAATAGAATTTTTTACTATTTCCGAATATATGTTCAGATTTTCGTTCTGAAATACGATTGAATAAGATTTAATAAATTTTGTGAAAAAGTTCGAAAGTGTGTCGTAGAACAGCTTCAAACCATCACTATTATAGAGTACTAAATCAAGTATTTCATAAACTACTGTTTAGAAATACGAAAGTTTTAAAATCTGCTATGCAAAAGTAAATAAAACGCTTTGCAGAGTAAACTTTTTTTTGTACGAAACTGATCTATTAAAAATTGTTCCATATTTTGAATTAGATAGGTTGACATTGTACAATAAAATTACAACAGACTCATAAGCATAATTATATAAAGAAAAAAGAAACAACACTAAGCATAATATGAAATACATACATGATGATTTCATTAGAAAACTGTTTTGTTACAAATTATAGTTAGTAAAAATTTTTATAAAAATCATTCTTACTTTGATTGACGAATAAAATCCGGTCGAATTCTATTTTCTAAATCTAATGAATCATTATTTTCTATTGATCTAGTGTTGACATCATCACGACAACAATTTATATTAAATCCACAATGATGAAATAATTTAATAATTCTAATAAATAAAGTCAAAAAAAAATCTTTTTTTTTTTTCTCATGTTTATATTTTACTTTTGTGTAATCGGTACAAGTAAATCAGCATCTAATGCAAAGACAAGAAATGTTATAATACCCTAACGAAAATAAAATAGATTAAAACAAAACAAACAAACTAAAGAATCTTACTTGACCATGTAATAAAACTGTATCCAAAAATTGTAATTCATAATAAATTCCGTTACGATCATGTGCTAATATTAACCATAATAAAACGGATACACACTATTCCATAAAAAAAAAATCATTGTGTTTCTTTTTCTGTTTATAACATATTCGAGAAAAAAAAACGACTTACAATAATAGCATCAATAGTTAATAAAGCAACAAGTATTCCATGACGAAATAATTGTGTATCAGCTTCTGATGGTTTGATTTCTAATATTCTCAAACAATAAAAAAAAACAAAATCAAATCAAAAAAATTACCTGCAGGAATAATAGGTCGTATATCTGTTTGTTCATCATCATCATCTATTAATGGTCGGATTTCATTCGTTCCAGAATTTGAATGATCAATATTATTATGGGATCGATTATTAATCGAATCATGTTTTAATCGAAATGTTCGACGAGCTATACGAAGTAGACTTATTGTATTAATTAAAATACATATAACAAGTAAAACTGTTGAAAGAATAATTTGAATTTTTCCAAATTTTTCCGTTTCTAATATTGAAGCTTCTTTTGATCTATCACTTGATGAACAAAACAAAATTATTAATGATATACATAATGAAACAGTCCATCCAAAAACATGATATATCCAAGAATATCGACGAGCTAATTGATTTGAATAACAAATAGTTATCATTAAAGCTATTGAGAGACTTGTTGCCCATGTTCGAGTAGTTAAGGCTATTAAAATACTACCTAAAAAACAAAACAATGATTATAATTGATTTTAAATTTTTTCTTCGAACTACCGCCGATAAACCGGAAGTACATAGCCGTATGGGAGCCACTTTTCTTCGCTGTGATCCTAATATCTCATAGGAGACAGCACCTGGAAACCTGGAGTATATGACAAATTTTGTTCTACTCTTCAAGATCATCTGTTCTGAAAATTTCAAATTCTTCTGATGAATCGTTTTTTAGAAACCCCGAAAAGGACTATCTTAGAACTTTCCTATCACATTGGCGACATCATGAAAAAAAAATAAGTTATTTAAAGTTTTTTTTTTTTAAATTAGATTGAAGAAGAATAAACACAGTTTTTTTCATTCGAAATCATTTCGAATGATTTTCTATAAACATTTTCTAATTTATTTAAAGTTAAACCAATTCGAGAATTTTCTTGAGTTTGAAAACATACAATGACCAACATCGTGTGTATGTGAATCATTGCCATTAGTCTGATAACCGTTGAGAAATTTCATTGTTTATTTCTTTTGAGTGATCTCTATCTTCTCTGGCAAGCAATAATGACAATTATCTTTACTTTTTATGAGCATCTTACTAGCAACAGCAGTAATATGAAAGAAGTGATGTATTTTACGTAAGAAAAAGAAAATGTGAAAAAGTAAATATCTTATGTTACACGTGTGTTCGTACTATCACCAGTGTGTCGACAATAGATTGTCGGCTAAAGAACAGCTATAGGTGTACTGTGGTAGAATGACGGTTACAGTTTAGCCGGCCATTTAAGTGTTAAACTACGGACAGTATAGTGCACATTATATTAAACAATCTACTAGCGGTTTTTGTTCAGTTTCAATCAAACATGGGATATGTTAACATATATTTATTGAATGAAATCAAGACCATATGAAGGATTCTAAAGGGTCAGTGTTTCATATATATAAAATAGTTATAAATATGTCCGATTACAAAATTGAACACTATATTAGAATCTTTAGAAGTATTGAGCAAGGCAAAAAGTGAAAAGAATAATCAAAACAGTATATTAAAATGACATATATTCTTATCAGAAGTTTGACTTATAAAGTATCAGATATGTTAATTAATTTTTCTTATTTATTTACCTATATCAAGTAGTGGTGATGTTGTTGATAATAAAGAACCTTTAACATGATGTATAACTATTGTCCATATAGCTAATATTATTTGTAGGCCAACAAAAATCAATGTATATTTATGTATAAATGATATTTTTAACCATCGATGCCGTAAACAAAATCCAATAAGAACAATAATTGTACAACATAATGATATTATACTAACATCATATTTTGTTTTCATTAATAATATTTCATATGATTCTCTTATTTTAATATCCAGTGTACGTAAATTAATCATTTTAGCTGAAACAAGTATAATTGGTCCTGAAAGTAAAGTTGAAACAACAAGTCCAGTTGATGCAATAGCTTGTAATGGTAAATTTGATTCTGGTACATAAAAAACGACTGATGGTGCTGTTGGTGCTGTTCCATATAAAAAACCTAAATTTGAATAATCTAATGTATAATTTAAATTTTCATTTTCTGGTTTAACAAGAAAAAAAACAAGTTGACGTAAAATTAATGGAAATATAATTGATTTCATCATACTAAGAAGAAAAACAGTAATAACAAGATGTGCATGTAAACGATTTAATTTTCCAACCATTGTTAAACCAAGATAAAATAATGCTGTAGCAGTAAATGATTGAGCTATTGGTGTTAGAACATATTCTATTAAATATGGTAGATGTTGTTTTAATAGTAGATTAAATATAACACCAAGTAATGTACATATAACAATTGGATTACGACTTATATTGCGAAAAACTGTTGAAATTAATTGAAATTTATTCCATGATTTACCTCGATGTTTTTGTTGTTCATCAAAACGTTTTTGTAATTCAATGAAGAAAAAACCTATTGGATTAAGTATAACAAGTTGTATAGGTGCTATTAAATAAACATATCGACCAAATTCAGGATGAGTTTGTTTATAAACAGATTCAATTATTGGATATATTAATGGAAAATCATTACTTTGTGTTGTCATTATAGCATATTCACCCATATTAGCAAAATTTCTTGGACGTTCAGCTATAAATGTTAGAATCATTGTTAAGAAAAACATTATGGTTTTACCAATAAGTACAGCTGTAAGAAATTGCCATGAGACACTTTGAAATTGTACATCAACAAGATTTTTAAATATAATAGCAGGTAAAGCAAAATTACTTATATAACGTGAAAGACCAATTGAATGAGTATTTGTTAAAAGATTCAATTGACCAGCTATATAACCAGCACTAATTATAAAAAAACATTGAATAAGAGCTGGATAAAGATCTTCATCAGAAACTAATGGAATATTGCTTGTTTGATTCATCATCTTTAAATATACAAAAAAATGAATATATACACTTCTGAACAAAAGTCTTTCGCTCTCTTCGTTTCCTTTAAGCTTGTTATATAGAACTCTTTTCGTCTCAAGTGAATGATAGTTGCAAGAAGGACTTAAGTGCTTTATTGTGACGACAATTTGCTTCAATGAAGAATATATGTCTTTCAAGATACTTGAACAACATTACAAATGAGCTAATTAACAGAATTCTTCATTCTTTCTTAGTATCTACTAATTATTATACTGATTTGAATTATTAAATTCTCTTCATTCCCAACTCAAAGCTTTTCGGAGAATGGGGTGTAGTCGATTATACAAATATAGATAAAGTAAAACTAATGAAACATTCAGAAAATATCACCAGATAACCTAGATATGAAGATTCTATCAACCAACTCATTTGTAGTGTTGGCTGATTGTATTATTATGACGTACATTCTGTATGGAGGGAGGTTATAACCAATCATACAAAATACTAAAATACAATACTTAAGCTATTCTGATGACTAACATTCAATTGGAACCAAAGGGGTTTGATACCAAAAGAATCAGAGAGATGGGTGAGGGGGGAGAAAGAGGAGAGGAGGAAAGGAGGAAAGGAGATTTTTGCTCATGGTGTATATATATACATAATATCACATAAAAAGCCTATTGCGTTTTATACAAAGAAGAGCAGAACGAGAGCAAAAAAATTAGACTCTTAGTCAAAACAATTTCTTATACACAGATCCAGCTGAGAAGAATATAATATGAATAAAAAACATATTATAAATTCCAACCTATTCATGTTAAAACAATTATGAAACGTGTTTTTTTTTCATCGCAGTATTATTTGTTAAAACCAAAATGAGAAGTATGTTTCAGAGAGAATGCAAAAAAAAACATTTTTCGGCTACCAATGGGAAATTAGAGATCTGTAGGTTTACCTTGACCTGTACATCTCTATAGAAGATGATCGTTTTTTTCTCAAAACTAAGTCGAATCAATATACTGAACTAATTCATGATTTATATAGTGATAGCTATATACTCTTCTAATTTTCAAGTTCTTATGAAACTCATTACATTTACGAAAATTAAAGCTTACGACAAAGACTCGTACTTCACCCTTTCTAATGATGATCTTTGATCAACTCTTTCTAAGCAATTTTTGAGAAGTTCACCTAATCATCATTTTTAATTCAATCGCAAGCATCTATAGAATTATTTTTTCTTAATGTCAAGAATTATGAAAATGTAATTCGTACGATTTAAATAACTAGCTTTCAGGGTCATTGCGTATTATTTATAGATTAAGAAAATATTAAATAATAGTAGTAATATTATTGCTTACGATATAGTAAAATATTAAACGACTAAATTTTCTAACTACTCACTTAGTAGGGTATACAATAATATCGACGTTTAAACATAGATAATGTCGTAAGTGTCAAGGTTATTTTTTGTTATTTTTTTTTTGAATAAATAGAAACAGTAGAATTTTACAAAGTTCTCATAATTTTTATATGTATATTCTTTTTTTAATTGACATTTTTCAAGGTTGCTATGCTGTTTTTTCATATCTAAACACACAAAATTTTTTTTGATTTTATTGATTCAATAGAAACCTATATAAAACTTATGAAGGAGATGTCTGAATATTCACTTTATATGAAATATGATTCTCAAAAATTGAAACCAATATTTTGTTGACTAACATAATAGTTTCCAATAGAGATTATTTAAATAGGAAATGAACGTAATTGATCGATGTAAAATTAAATAAAATATTATATACAATATGTAATCAACGAATACTGATCGCGATCACTAGATGTCAGGTATAATAAATAAGTATCAAATCAATCTTTCTTCTCATAAAACAGAACATACATAAAATCAAATCAATGGTTTTTTTGTCTTCTTTTTTTCTTTTGCTCTCTTATCGTTTATAAATGCTTGAGTAATTTTTCATTTCTTTTTAAATATGTTTCGAATATTACTTATTTGTATTACGTATGTTAATCATTATTTGGTTGAAAGTAAATAACAACATTAAATTTAAATATCATTATATATTTAATGAATAGGTACTGTGATTGATTATCCTTTCAATGAGCATATCGAAGAACGTATAAGAAAAGATTTCGATTCAATCGATTCAATCTTTCGATATTATATCATTCCGCGTGAAATTCAGTTTCATATAAATGCAATTAAACATGGTTTACCGTATTTTTTACGATGCAAAGGTTCACATAAATCAATTAATTTTACTGTTCCGGTATCTGCAATTGAAGTAGGTCACTAAACTAAATCTTAACAGACGATCCGGCACGGTTTGATTATTGAAATCTATCATGCCTTTAAAATTTCTTTAAAAAGATACATCGCGACATACAACATTATTCTGCTGCTTGTGCTGTCGTGAATTTGATTTCTGCTAATGTTTAGATGCTGATACAGCTCATCAGCTTAAGCATTCAAAAATACATGAATATATAAATTTTAGATGTACGAACGTTTTCTGTTCATAAGCATTTTTTGTATTAAGTACTTGAATTACACTCAAAAAATAAAGATTTTCTCAGAAATCGTTTATTTTAGAGTGAAGATGAACTTATCTTCGCTCTACAAAATGCATGCAAAGACTTGATAAATTCTCTTTTTCCCTTCACATGTTCCATCACCATACAATATAAATGCTTCATTTTGATTACTTCGATGTAGAAAAAATGAAATAATTAATATTAAAACAATCATATAAAATATAAGTAGAACAAATAAAAATTGCAATTGATATATCAAACATTGGCAATTGTTTTTAAGGTTTCTCCATCCCAACTTTAGAGTACTGTATAGATATTAATTTTAGTATCTGTATCCTATTTGTATTAGTATCTTTCATATGCTTACCGTAATCTTGCCCTTATCCAATTATTGGTGCGAGTATACTAATCTTCATCATTAAAAACGGGTGGGGAGTGTTTTGAGTACCACGAAACAAGTGAAATGAGCACCTAATTAGTTATATGTAAAAAGAGCACCAAAAAAAGGGTGAAATGAAAACCAAATATTTTACGTGTGAAATGACCACCGAATGAAAGAAACAAAGTAAAAAAGATGAGTTGTCTTAAACAGATAGAAATTAAAGCATACATGTATACAATCATTCAATTGTGATAAGATCAACTCGAATTGACGATTCTCACGACGATTTACTGATCAAGGGTACAGAATGAGGGTATGTATTGGTGTGGTTATAGAGTAATGAGATCTACGTCCTAACCCTTACCCACACCCCCCACTCAGACCCAAGATACTATTTTGTAGATGTGAGAGTAAGGGTGAGGGTGGGCGTGTGGATGAGGGTTAGGACGTAGATCTCATTACTCTATAACCACACCAATACATACCCTCATTCTGTACCCTTGATCAGTAAATCGTCATGAGAATCGTCAATTCGAGTTGACTTTATCACAATTGAATGATTGTATACATGTATGCTTTAATTTCTATCTGTTTAAGACAACTCATCTTTTTTACTTTGTTTCTCTCATTCGGTGCTCAATTGTCTTATTTTTTTGTGCTCATTTCACCCTTTTTTTGATGCTCTCTTCACATATAACTAATTAGGTGCTCAAAAGATATTTTTCCATTAAAAACAATGAGCGTGAAATTTAATAGATCATACAATACGTATATTGTTGGTAGCAATAATTAAAGTTTCTTTGTGCATAAATCTATGCTCTATTCAGTTTCGAATAATGATGAAAAGGTTTAGTATTTGATAAACAAATAAAACAATTCTTTTAGGAATTATCTTTCACTACTGATGATAAAACTCATACAATCACTGCTAAATTAGAAAGAAATCAACTCAATACAAATCTTGTTGGTCGTTATACATGTTCAGAAATAATTAATGGTAGAAAACATGAAACAACTGTTCATGTATTTATTCAAGGTATAATATATTTCCTATATTTTCTGTTAATAATTCTACAATAAATGTTCTTAGATGAGCGTTCTGTATTTACTAAAAGACTTTATCCAAAAATATTTAAACAAACGGGTATTCATTTTTTTAATTTACCATGTCAAACTACTAATTGGTATTCAAGCATGTCATGTCCAATATCATCCAATGGGAAACAATGTAAGGTACGTCAATGTAATTTACAAGAACGTAAAATAAATGAAGTTAAATGTAATATACCTATATGTAATGGACAAGAACGATGTATTCCAGTTTATTATACACCATCAGATTTAATAAGAGAGGTCAGCTTCTATCATCTTAGAGAATAAGTACTTATAGTTTCGATTTCTTTTTTCTTTTGTAGAAAGTTTTTTTTGATCCACAAATTGGTTTTGCACTTGAAAATCCAACAATACCGGATACATTGACTTACTTTACTTGTGTGAATAATTATACCCCAAATGAAGAATCCAAAATTCCATTTGATTCATTAAGTCGTATAAGTCACAATTTTCATAATAATGATGACTTTTATTTTTGATTCGATTTTCTTTTATGTCTAGCTGATCATGTACAAATTCATCAATCAAATTTAAGGGTTACGAGTGATGAAATCTTAAAATTAACTTGTGAAATTCGATATGAACAAAATCTATATAAAAAATCGCCAACACTTTTTTGGTTCGAAGATATTTATAATGTAAAAATATTCATTTAATAAATACTCAAAATTTAAAACAATAATTTTTCTTCTTTAGCTTAATTTAATCTCCAATCAAACAGAAAAACCAGTGTTCGATAGTAAAACACTAGTATATAGTCGAAATAGTTCAATAGTACTAGGTGGTTTTAAACCAAATAAAAATTATCGATTTTATTGTGTACGTGTATCTGACCATGGACTTTATTCACATTCTATTGTTATAACTTGTGTTGATGGTATGTATCATAAATATGTACAAAACGGCACTCAAGTAATAATTTATAAAGAGTTCCCATATTGGATAAGTTCATTTCAAGTTGTGATT